GAGGTGGGCTAGATTTGCCTCAATTAAGTTAGGCACTTCATTTACAGGATTCACATACCTGTGTAAAAGCTCTGCCTTGAAATCATCCAGAGAGTGAGTTTTTCTGGCTCCTATGAGAGGCAAATGTTAGTTTTGAAATGGCAGTTTTCAAATACACATGTGACAGTTTCTTGCTTTTTTAAATGACGGCCAATATTCTCAAAGTACTCCCTTTCTGTGGAGTTGGTGCTGGAAGTGCAACATGGACATTTGAAAGACAAGACATCATTTGCTTTCACTGTTTCATGAGATGAATGACTTCTTGACATGTGTGATTTAAGGCTGGTCCTAGTTTTGAAAGAGCAATAACATTCCCAATAAAGACATGACAAAAATTGTCCACTATGCACATGCCGCAGCCTATAATGTTTCAATAGCTCAGTTTTTCTGGGGGTTTCAAATTTACAAATTTTACAGCACCAATTCATTGTGAAAAGGTACAATCCAGTTTCAGTGAAAAAAAACTGATAATTTCAGATAACCCTAAACACTGCAATCTCTTGCTTGCTAATTAAGAAAAATAAATGAAGAGATAAAGTATTTCAAATATCTTGTGTTGAAATAATGAATTCAGTTTTTCTACTGTATTTGACAAGTATGTCATCTACAAATCTAAAATCTTTTGGATCTAAACAAAATCGCAATCACTGTTTATAGAATTCCAATACATACCACACACAAATGTGTTTTAAAGTGTTTTCCTTTTTTTCAAAAAAGCAAGCAAGTAAAAAACACACCCAACTGGGGACTCTACACTTAGTCCTACAAGTGCTGCTGAAAATGCTGGTGGTGAGAAATCTATATAAAAAAAAAAATGTTCATGTTATTATTGGTTGATAATGAAAATTGCCTACAAATTAAGGGTTTGGAAAGAGTGGACGTACATTGACCAACACGTGTGAAAAAAACACAAGATGAAGTTAATTTAAAAATGCTCAGCTATGACAGCATTAAAGTTACCAATTAACAAGATTAGGAACACTGGAGACCCACTATCTTTATAAACAAGGGCAACGTCACTGATGCCGTTAGTTGCTGTTAGCTGTTGCTTCAGAAAATCGCGGGCTGCCTGCACTTCATAATGTGACAATAAGGCCAACCTTGCTTGACTAAAACAGTTGAGCCACTCAAATGGATGGACATCACCGTACATATTTTTAATGCTGAACGATATACAATCAAACAACGTAATATATGCCAAGTCCCTCTCCAATAAGTTACCTGTGTGACAATATGGCGCTCCCTTCACAGACTTGCGACAACGACAGCTAAACAGCTATACAGCTCAAACTAATGACTATAGAATACATATAGTTCATGTTAAACGATGCATGCAAATCAACAACCTATCACTAGAATATTTACCAATACGGCAACATATTATATTTCTCGGTACTCACCTTTCCGTCAACATTAACCCATGGATATCCACATGTGAAAAAAGTCCCGGATGTCAGAACCTCTTGTTGACGTTGCTTCAAAATAAAAGCATGTGGTAAATACGCCGTTTGCAGGCGGCTCGCGTTTATCGGTGGCATCGCATTGTTGCCTGCAGCCTGAGCTAAAAAAAAAATCTCATCTCCTTAACTTGATGTAATAAACAACCACAGAAAACACACAAATTGTGTACTTTACATAGCGTGTGTGTGGGTGAGCAAGAGAGAGAGAGAGAGAGAGAGAGAGAGAGAGAGAGAGAGAGAGATGCTCAACAGCTGATCAGAGAAAAAAGTTTGCAGTTTGTAGGCAGCAGGCTGTATGTCGGAATGTATATACATGTTGTCAGTGTGACAGTAAATGTACAGCGAAGGTTACAGTGTGTCAGTTAATAAATGCTGCAACTCTCGAAACCAGGAAAGGTTTTATCTGTTGTTTCCAAACTGCTGGAAAAGTGAAATGATTACTTCTGAACAACCCCATCTACATTTGAGGTTATTGTCTGTGGTGGAAACTCAAAACACATTTAGGGGTTAGATACATTAAAATGTTTTCTCAATCTAAATACTTAGTTTATGTTATTTTAACAATATTTTAAACAGTAAGAAAAAACAGAAGCTAGTATAAATAGCTATTTTTAAATAGTCTGTTTATTTTGAATATCAAAAAAAAAAATTGAAAATGTAATGAAAAACAGAAATTGTAGGTATAAATAGCCAAAATAAAGCCCTATGCATCTAAAATACAGATGTGTAATGTAGGGCTACAGAGTGAATATGCAAGACTGGATGCACTGAAAGCCAGTCATTTCAGTAAGACTCAGGGAAGTGCTCACAAGAGAGATATTTTAGTTGAGCCAGCTCAAAATTGTGACTTGTTGAGCTGACGCAACATTGTGCGTTCAAATTACATTTAAAAATAAGTAAAGATTTTTTTTTTTTTTCCACAGCGGTATTGGCAAAATGTTTTGTGGACTGATGAAAGAAAAGAAAAGATTGAACTATTTGGAAAAAACACACAGCACTACATCTGCCTTAGAAAGGGCACGGCATATCATCATGAAAACATCATCCCAACCGTAAAGTATGGTGGAGGAAACATCATGATTTGGGCCTGCTTTACTGCATCAGGGCCTGGCCAGCTTGGAATCATTGAGGGGAACATGAATTCCCAAGCATATCAGACAAGATATTAAGATAACGTGAGAATGTCTGTACGTCAGCTGAAACTGTGTAGAAGGTGGGTGATGCAACAGGACAACGACCCAAAACACCGGAGCAAGTCCACAACAGAATGGCTTCAGAAAAACAAAATCCGCCTTTTGGAGTGGCCAAGTCAGAGCCCAGACCTCAACCCAATAGAGATGCTATGGATTGACTTGAAGAGGGCCATACACATGAGACGTCCAAAGAATATGACAGACCTAAAGCAGTTCTGCCAGGAGGAATGGGCTAAAATTCCTCCTCAACGATGTGCAGGTCTGATCCACAGCTACAGGAAATGCCTGGTTGAGGTTATTGCTGCCAAGGGGAGTTCAACCAATTATTAATTCTAAGGGTTCACTTACTTTTTCTACTGCCATTTTGAATGTTGAATGAGTGTGTTCAATAAAGACATGAAAAAACTGAATATTTTTGTTATTTTTGGACCCATTATATTTGTCAAATTTATTCAGAAAACAGTGAAATTCCAAAAGGTTCACATACATTTTCTTGCCACTGTAGCTTTCTATGTCTTCACTCCCCTCCGTGTCTTTTTCTATCCCCTCTCCTTCCTTACACTTCCTGGATATGCACACATAATAATTCACTTCACTAATTCACAATTTACACACTGTAACCTCTTACATTACTGTCACAACCCCTGCTACTGTTGTACCATTAAGTTGTACTGTCTTGTGATGTGATGTGATGCAATGTGTCTTAATGAAATAGATGTTCTTTCATTGTTCACTTGATGTATTGTTTATCACAAAAAATAAATAAAAATTGTGGCAAATGCTCCTTCTCAGAATTACATTTAAAAAAGATGGTAGGAGAGTCAACTCAGTTTGCTCAGACACCAGTGCACTCATACACTCATAAAACTGGCAATAAAGCTGCTATCCCCTTGAGAGTTGATGTATGGTGCCTGAAAGAGAGCTACTGAGAGCCATATTAAAGGTTTTATTACCAGTGTCAGAATCAAATAAGTGGTGGTTTGCCACAACCTATTGTGTGTGTGAGTGTGTGCAGATTCAACCTGACTCGCACAAGTCATACATGGTTGACTTTGAACACTCAATCTCAACATTAAGTTCAGTGATAACATTTGGATTCGGTGTCACAACAGGTGAATTAGATTGAATCCCAAAGGGAGACAGGAATAGGAAGAACAGCATGGTGCTAAATGGTAAATGGACTGTACTTATATAGCGCCTTTCTAGTCTTTCGACCACTCAGTGGTACACTGCACTACACCACACTCAGCCCATTCACACACATTCATGCACTGATGGCACTGGCTGCCATGCAAGGTGCCAACTGCTCACCAGAATGGAAACTAATCATTCTTACACACCTAACCCTAGCACTACACATGTTAGGGGCACATCAGGACCAATTTGAGGTTCACAGGCATGGTATCAGGTCCAGTTTAGATTCAGTTCTTAGTTAGTCAGTTTTCAGAGCAGACAAAACAAATAGTGAATTAATGCTCAAGGATATTTCCATTCTTTTCTGATTCCTAAAAAACTACCAAATCACAAAATATTTAATTTTAATCTTTACAGTGTAAGCCTACATGGCAGCAATTCAGTGAATGGACTTGAGCTGTGGCAAGAGTGTAGTCAGTCACTAGTGACATGATGGGGACAACCAAAATCAATATGACCATAGCCTTTTAAAGCTTTTCCAACCAGTACTTTTCAACTCTCACCTAAACTAATGCACATACAGTCTGTTCTAACACTGCATAAAAACAAGCTGATTTAAACATCAAGGAAGAACAGTTTGTCCACCATACATTCAATATTACATACATGTATAACAATTACACATATACAATAGATTTTCAATTGCATTCTTGAAACCAGCTGAGCACAAAACTTCATGAGACAACTTCCCATGTCACAATGAAGCTGATAATGCATCTTAGCTTGGGTGCATTGTACTATTCCTACCTCTCCTGCAGTCATCATGTTGGTAAATTAACCAAACCTTTCCCACCCTTTCATTACCCAGCAAAATCTCCACTTGAAGCAGCTCAGCACTCATGCTGCTAAGCACAAACTGAGACATCACTTTCAAAAATGGACATTCACAGAATCACAGACACATTTTGTTTTTTTTTGGGGGGGGCTCCTGATCTGAAAAAACATATGACGATGACCAATTCTCTAGCAGCTTAGCTCATATTACATCATGCCCCACAGGAGAGGGACGGGTTGCTGCTCGGAGCTCCAGCATAGAGAGTGGCTTCAAACTGCATGCAAACTTGCAGACAATGACAGTAGAAAGATAACAAGACAAAAAGCTGTATTCACTTACCCGTGCTGGCAAAGCCGCAAAGAGAAAGAACAAACAGCCAGGAAATCATTGTTGCAGAATTAACAGTTAGGATACAAAGAATGTGTGGAGTTGAGACACTAGCTAGCTTCCTCCCTCAGCTGCTGTTCTCTCAGTCTGACTCATTTTTCTCTTTTCTTTCTCTGGAATTATCCTCTGACTGACTGTCCCTGTGTCTCCCTGCTCTCCTCCTTGCCGTTCACTCTGCGTGAATCAGGCTTGCTTTACTACTCAGGCTCCCATGCTTGCTCTCTCTGACTGTGCTCTCTTGCTCACTTGCTTTCTCTCTCCTCACTGCATCTCTCTCTCTCTCTCTCTCTCTCTCTCTCTCTCTCACTACAGTACCGTCAGTGAGGAAAGTGCTTAAGATGCTGGCTCCTCCCTCTCTCCGCCTGCTCATCTGCCTTTCTGCCATTTAGAACGGTCTAGACTGAGGCAAAAGATCTCCTAGATGATCTACTGTGCTTTATCATTTAATGGAGCACTAAGATAATGTTCAGCACCTTGTACAAATGGACAATAAAATATAATATACAGCAGGGGCAGTATCAACATATAAAGAAATAAAATATATATCTTTTAAAGCATGCAGATTTGTAATTTGTGATTCTGGTGATTTTGGTTTTTACCCTTGGACTACAGGCAACAAAACAAATAGTCATTAAAGATGTATTATTCTACATGTTTTTATGTTGACTTAAAAGCAGCCAATAGGAACTTGTCTCAGGTGCTCATGACTACGACCTTTGCCAATCCTTTCACCACCGACGTCTGCAATGCACCCCAACACCTTCAGATGGAGTTAATTGAGCTTCAAAGCGACAGTGGCCTGAGAGCAAAGTTCCAGGATGCTGCAATCCAAGACTTTTACCATCTGCTGCCCCCTGGTCTGATGCCACAGCTTCAACTTCATGCTGCCCGTGTTCTGTCCATGTTTGGGAGCACCTATCTGTGCGAACAGATGTTTTCAATAATGAATCTGAACAAAAACAAGCACAGATCACGCCTCACTGATGACAACCTCCATGCTGTTCTACGGATTGCCTCAGCACAGGACCTAAAACCAGACATTGACACACTGGTAACGGGAAAACGGTGTCAGACATCTGGTCAGAAAACACACAGGTAAGCATTTAAAAAAAACTTAATTAGAATATGATAAAATGTAATTCAACCAAGAAGAAGAATAGTTAAACTCTGTGTGCAATTTAATGATTGTGCTTGCATTTTGTTTTGTGTTTGTTATTTTCAGAACATGATCAATGGATGGTAGAGAGGGGATCCACTTGGTGTGTTCAAGGACAGGCAGCATCTCCTCATCAAAAACTAACCTAAAAACTTGACTAATATAGTTGTGAACTGAGTCAACCTTTATTTTGTTATTTTTTAGTTGATTCCATATTATTTATATGTGTAGCTGCTGTTGCAATTATTTGGTGTTTGCAGGTTTTATGTGTGTATGCAGACAAATTATTGTAATCAAACCATCAGTTGGATGCAAGGCTGTGTGCAGCCTTTTTTTTTGTAAAATGCTACATCTGTCATACATGTTCTTAGCAGCTCACAATTGTTGATTTTGCAGTAATTGAGCCCATTTTAACTTTGACAAAAACGTTTTGAACAAATTTAATGTCATAACTTGTGTTTGATGTTATTTTTCTTTATTCACTTGGATAGTTTGATCCTTGATTGATGGAGTTATCTGGGTTTCATAACCTGACAAATTAAAAGGATTTATGTTATAACAGAGCAACAAGCAAACATATTTTTTCTGTGCAACTGTAATGCTTGTAACTTGATTTATTGAGTTATTTAACATTAAGGAGTAGTTACATTTATTTTACATTACATTTGGTTACATTTAGTTACATTTATAAGCTACATCTGGCCCTTTGAGGACAGCCATTATGCTGATGTGGCCCTCGGTGAAAATGAGTTTGACACCCCTGCCCTAAAGCATAGTTTGACTTTGGCGTATAGAACAAGACTTCCATGTCAGCTTCACTTAACAGACCCGGAAGCTCTGTCCATTATATATACTGTCAATGTTCCCAACTCGGGGGTCGGGACCGCCACTAGAGGTAATAAAAGCTTCGGGTGGGTGGTCAGGAGGTCTTCTAGATTGTAATGGATGTGAGAAAAAAAATCAGGAACTTTTTATTATTATTTGACATCTAAACTTAAAAAACCTGAAGACAAGCTTTTATTATTAGTGTGCCTGAGAAAGCACACTACTATTATTCCTCATACTCAATTAGTGTGCCTGCAAGGCACCAGAAACCAGGCCAAAAAATGAATGGGTGTGTATTGGTAGAATGCTCAACTGCTTTTAACTGCCGTTTCCTGGTCCTGGTCACCTAGAAACCAAAGCCTGCAGCTCACAAGCTTGACTGTGAACAGGCATTACGCTTCCATGTTGTTTTTCGGTCGACTACTCCTTCTGCAGTTTTGGTCACACATACACAAAAAAGGCATCAAGACCTGCGGCTCGGCCGGGACATTAGTGCTATGACTTTTCTAAGCGTTTCACCAAACAGTTTGCCAATAAATCGCCAAAAACCAGGTCAAAAAAATGAATGGGTGTGTATTGTCAGAATGCTCGCAACTAGAGTGTGTGACATTATCACTAGGGTGCAGAGAGAGAGAAAAAATTGTCAAAAAATAAATTAGTAAACTGCTCTCAAGGCCACAAGTGTCACTGTACAGAAATTATTTATAGATAGAAACGTAGATAAATTCGATGGGGTCGCAGTGATAACAGTGCTGAAGCTGTCAGACAAATAGTTTTGGCGGGAAATGCACTGATGCGCCAGCAACACCCTCTCACAGCCCCATCTACTCCCATGTTAATTGGAGAGAAGAAATTTTGAAAGGAGCTTGTTGCACCTGTTCTTCTTCAATCTCCAGAGGTCACAATTTTTAACTTTAGCCACTGAAACTCGGCAGTCCTATGGTCAACAAAATAACGATGCTCACGGCCTTCGTTTAACCCCCACTCTCCAGCCTCGCCGTCTCCTCAGCTCCTCCGGTATGGAGGGTCTCTCTCCAGTCAGGATGCTCGGGTACCTCAGGGCGATCATCTGGTCGGGGGTGTAAACAATGCGACTCGCCATCGCCATGGAGACCCGTGTATTAGTATTTAGGCGACGTGAACAAAGTAGTAAGAAAGTAAGAAAACAGTTAAAAATAGCAAAAAACTGACTGAAAACACACTAAAACTACAACAATGATAGGAGCTGCCATGACAGGCTGTCGTTGTCGCCGGTGCCATTCCATGGAATCAACATACACATACACGCACACACATAGCTAGCTAGAGAGGATGATAAGGTATTAATATGCTAGTGCTAGCTAGCTAAAGAGAATGACATGGTATTAATATGCTATCGCTAGCTTGCTAGCTAGAGAGGATGACAAGGTATTGATATGCTAGCACTAGCTAGCTAGCTAAAGAAGATGACAAGGTATTGATATGCTAGCGCTAGCCATCGTGCTAGAGATGATGACATGGTATTAATATACGGGCCAGAGTCAAGCACACTACTATTATTCCTCATACTTATTATTAGTGTGCCTGGAAAGCACACTACTATTATTCCCCGTGCTTATTATTATACTTCCGTACGTTTATCGGTCGACTACTCCGGTTTTGGTCGCACATACACAGGTACCAATACAGGCGGTGGGGACATTAGTGCTATGACCTTTCTAAGCGTTTGACCAAACAGTTTGCCGATAAATCGCCAAAAACCAGGCCAAAAAATTAATGGGTGTGTATTGGTAGAATGCTCAACTGCTTTTGCCGTTGCAGCTAGAGTGGAGAGAGAGAGAGAGAGAGAGAAAGATTTGTCGAAAAAGAAATTTATAAATTGCTCTCAAGGCCACAAATGTCACTGTACAGAAATAATTTATAGATAGAAATGTATGTAAATCCGATGGGGTTGCAGTGATAACACTGCTGAAGCTATGGTTCGAGGGGGTTCATTTTGAGATTTTCTGTCATTCTCAGGAGTTAGAGACTGAACTGCTGTGGCCTAGCCCTGGTTGCCAAAACAACCAAACCCTGGCTCTCACAAGCCTGGCTGTGAACATACACATAAGATAAGAGATGAGATAAGATATTCCATATTTATCCCCCTTAGGAGAACTCTGGAATCATTTTTCTAAGGATGACAGATATAAAACTATAAATTAAAGTATATACACTATGCATTGTTCAAGTAGGACATGGAGTGCAAAATATTAGCAGAAAATTAAACTTGACTAAAACTAAACAACTAAAACTACTAAACTACTGTGTAAGTGGAAATTAAATATAAATAGTGCAAAAGGCTTGTGCATTGTAGGTAGGAGTTTTAAACCAGTCTTTGTCTGTGGGGGTTGGAGGTACTGGGTGCTGTGGCGTTGTGGAGTCTGATGGCTGATGGTACAAACAAGCCTCCAAACCGCTTCGAGGCTTGGGGCTGGGTCAGTCTGTAGCTGAAAGTGCTCCTGAGCTGGCCTTCCTCACCAGCTTGCTAAGCTTGTTGGCACCCCCAGTGCCGATGCCTCCCCCCCAGCAGACCACCGCAAAGAAGAGGACACTGGCCACTACAGACTGGTAGAACATCTGTAGTAGCCAAGTGCACACGTTGGGGCGGCTGTGGCGCAGGGGCAGAGCGGGTCGTCGTCCAATCGGAAGGTTGTTGGTTTGATTCCCGGCTCCTGGTGCCACATGTCGAAGTATCCTTGAGCAAGATACTGAACCCCAAATTGCTCCCAATGCCGTGCATCGATGTGTGAATGTGTATGAATGTGTTAGTTTCTGTTCAATGGGCTTTGCCATCACTGTGTGAATGTGTGTGAAAGGGTGAATGTGGCACGTAGTGTAAAAGCACTTTGAGTGGTCGGACTACTAGAAAGGCACTATACAAGTACAGGTCCATTTACCATTTACATTGAATGACCTGAGCCTCCTCAGAAAGAACAGCCTGCTCTGTCCTTTCCTGTTGAGGGCCTCAGTTTGATCCGTCCAGTCCAGTTTATTGTTGAGTGTCACCCCCAGGAACTTGTAGGTGTCCACCATCTCTACCTTCTCCCCCCTAATCTCAACAGGCGAGGGGGGGTCCTCTCGCCAGGAGTCCACCACCAGCTCTTTGGTTTTTCCTGTGTTTAGCTGTAGGTGGTTCCTGTCGCACCATCCAATGAAGTTCTCAACCAGGTCTCTATACTCCTCCTCCCCCCTATCATCTGAGATACAGCCAACAATAGAGGAGTCATCAGAGAACTTCTGTAGATGGCACGCTCCAGAGTTGAGCTGAC